TTATCATAAATATGACGGAAATTGCATACTTACTATTTAAAACATTTTTTGAATTTCGCAATGATGGGAGCAAAAGTTAACGACTGTAACATTGCATTCACACTCCATGAACATAATCTAATAACGACAATGAGCCTGTCTGTAATTATGTAGATACGGAATTCAGTCTTAAAAGATAATCCCCGTGAAAAATACATGAATCAAGATCGTTAGACGGTAACTGCCATTTTGCATTCTGGGAAAATAAATCTAACTCACTTTTAAGAAGTACCTGCCAAAAAGTAAAACAAATATATATAAACATACTTTCACTTGCCCTTTCATCCACTTTTCAGAAACCCTGAGCATACAAAAATAAGCAAGTACAAAATATAACTTCGGCTTTACACAACCATATTTTACGTTTAACTGCAAAACCTTCCCCTAGCACCATACCGGGGTAATAAAAATATAAAATTTCACTAAAACCTAATAAAATTTGGCACAAATTTACCTGACAGCTAAAAAACATCAAACAGTAAGTAAATAACAAAACATTTTATCCGGCTAAGCATTTTATACTGTTAATATCTGTTAATGTTATACTGTTAATAAAATATATAATTTATATTTAAACAGGACCGGTTCTAAGCATTTTTCTACTTCAGCTAAAACAGATTGTCTGTTTTTAGAAATATTTAGTGTAACTTTCAATATTTTTGTACAACAGGGTCGTTTCCATGATTGAAATTCTGTATAGAGTGTAACAAAAACGAACCAACAAACTTCAAGGGTTATTAGAAATTGAATTAATAATTTATTGTTCTGTGATTCATATTAAGTATGCGTTTTCTACATTTACCGGTTCCTGAGGCTAGCGCCACATAGAGCGCTATGTTCGTTATGTTTATTACGTTATTAAAAATAGCTGCCATTGTTTTAAATAGACGTGACTACAATAAAAGTACCTAGACAATATATATACGCACACGACTGGCAATTTTAAAACATCAGTTATTATAAAATAATGAACACAAAAACAATGGAATTACGTCACAATATACAATTTTTTTCTAAAATGCTTCGTTGAGAAAATAGGAGGTGCTAAAGTTTTCAAAGTTTTATTTTTACGTTTTTACGACTTTTAAAAAAATATATGATAAAGTTTTTTAATTATTTACCCTATTTCTTTGTAGAAAAAAAATGTTCTTATTTTTTTGCCAATGTGTTCGAATAATTCGATTTTTTTTAAATACAATTTTCGTTTTTTGATATACTGCATTATCTTACAAAAAATGAAATAACTCTAAAACAGTACATATTTTTTTTTGTCATACAAAATAAATAATCAAGTCTTAAAAAATTGTTAAATTTAACTGAAAAAGTTAGTTGTCGCCCTAAATCTTTACCACTGGTCTACATAATTTATCATTGTGTATATACTCCGCGGTCGAAATTATAGAGTGACTAAGACATAATATAAAAACACTATTACCATAATGCGTATAAAATATAAAATGATTTTTATACGGTTCAATATTATTTATCTTTGTGCCGCTCGCTACGCACATCGATAGAATCTGTAATCGTCAGAGACCGAGTTACACTGAACGTCGATCTATATTCTATCTCTGTCTTTTGCACTTGGTAGGGAATAGGGAAATGCTTTTTTAGTGGGTGTAAACGGACTTGAATTAACCAACCCGTCCTGAGAAACGTCATAGCATAAGCGTAGACGAGGGGTCTAATTCTATGGCTATAATAAATTTATAAATTAAAAAACACAACTGGGACGTTTTAAAATGCTGTAATAATTAAAATGGATCAAAGTGCCTGTTATAGCAAACCGTAAAAAATATTAGATGTTATGTTTTATTATCTTTTTTCATTATTTTCTATATCTTGTTGCCTTTTACGCAGACACGCCAATGGATTTTCGTTCCCGGCACGCTTCATCCCCCTTACTAGTCCAAAAGCTAGCGATGAATCACTCTCTATAATTTCGACCGTGGAGTATAGGTACAGATTATGAATAATGGCCTAATGAAAACAATCTAATAAATTTCAGTTTTTTCGAAAGTAGTTTTGGAAAATATTTCAAAAATATTGAAAATTTTTTTGGAACCTCAACGACATCCTCGAAGCGTTTTCGAATATATATATCTTATCCCGATTATTTTTGTAAGTTCTATCATGCCCTCAAAATGCGTGGTTCATTTTTGGTACACCCTATATTAAATGTTGAAACAATAAATATAAAATACTCACTAAAAAATAAATAAATAAATAAATAGCATAATTAAGTTTTTATCATGGTTCATTGGAATTCCTCAAAATAATATTTTATAAGTGGGGAAATTATTATTTTTTCAGAAGTGGATAGTGGCTTGTTTAAATCTACAAAATATTGAATTTAATCGTAATGAAACGTCAAATTTCTCGCTTTATTGATAAATCTTAAGGCGGAATTATGTCTATCGAAAACATGATACCGATTGTATTTGTCTTTAAAACAATACTACACATTAGCAAATTTCCACAAACTATGTCGGTAGATACAAAACCGACAGAAATAAGTTTGCATCTGAGATAGCTCCGCCCACAAATGCGCACTGGACAGGGCAGGGGAAACGCTCCAGGTAGCCACTATCCCAAATCGTCGCGCCATCGTCTTATTCCTTCTGGCCGAATGCGTTCTTTCTCGATCTCGGGCAGCTGGAGACAGAACCTTCGAGCATATACTACTGGAGGTAGCCTCCCAATGGCCGGGCGCGTTACAAGGTGCAGAGATAGCTGCTATGAGGTAGATGCGATCTCTCTCTCTCGTCGAACGTGATTGGCTCACGACTGATCCCTTCTACGACTACGTGACAGGAACAGCCAATCACATTAGGCGAGAGAGAGAGAGATAGCATATACCTTCATAGCAGGTGTCTCTCTCTTCGCCTTGTAACTCGCCCAGCCGTTGAGAAGCTACCTCTAGTAGTATATGCTCGAAGGTCAGAACATAATGGTTTGCCATTGTTCATTGTAAACGAATCATTAATATCGGTGACGCCAAGATTTAGAGAATTTTCGTTATAGTCTTTCCGAAGTCAGTTGAACATGCAAAAAACCGTTTGGTAATAAAATTTAATGAGTTTCATACGCGTCCCTAAAAAAATGTTCTGCTAAAGGTAAAAAATTATAACAATTTGTATATAATGTGTAAAAAATTTCTATTATATGTTCATTTAGCCAACAACATATTTGAATTATTTATGTCCTCAAACAATTTTATTATATTGATGGTAAATTTCGTTTTGTTCCGTTTCAAAAGGTCACCAAAATGCCATATTGTAAGAATATTAGTAAACAAAATATTCCTCTTATTTCTCCCCTTCGCAATTGTAATATGAATGAATAATAGAAGGTGCCTATAATAAATTAAAATTACCTGAATCACACCAAATTCCGCATTGCTGCACTGCACTGCTGGGCAATTTATCAACCACTTGTCGTCTGCTGTGATTTATTGCCCAGTAGCCCAATGCAAGTGTAACCGTTTTCCTTTGCTCGCGCTCGTATTCTTCAACTGAGCGTATACATTTCCATCGCCTTCACGTTTAGTTCGACCAGACCTGTATATCGGTATGGCTAAATAAATATGGGAACAAGTTTTTCAAATATTTCAATGCCGAGTTGCTGCGTCAGCGACCGAACATGGTACATACTATCAATCTGTTGGTTCTTCAATTGATATCGGAAAAACTATACCAGTACCAGTCGTGCAAAAAAACCGTTAGAAAAAGACCTGCTTTGATATTTTAGAATTTTGAAAATTAAAATGTAAGTCAATGTTCCAAATTTGGGAGCGATAGGTTTTAATTTGACGATTCATCAAATCAAAAAACATCAAAGTAGACCGACTGTCTTCAAATTTTATTATCTATAAATATAAACTATAATTAATTGTGAATTAATGAAATATTTTAATACACGAAAAAAGCTCTTTACCTAGACATAAAATATTTATTTCTAAATACAAATATGCTGCAAACTACTTTTTAATTATACAGGATATACTCGTATTCCCGAAATGCCAAATTTCTAATTGAAGTTGTTTTATCAGTAAGTAACACATCAGAGGTAAGAAAGTGGATATACTATAATCCGATATTTTACTTACATTTCATGGGAGTGAGATATGACTATACGATATACATGGCAAACATACAAATTTATTTCTAATTCAAAATTCTCCAAATACTTTTGCGTCAAATTATTGTAAATTATAGCCAATATTATTATTTATATTTTACGTTTAAAAAACACTTGTAACGCGATTTATATCTATTTGTATTTTCAAAATGCCAAGAACAGCAATTTGCTTCGACCTGTTTTTAACTATGTCGGCAAAACCAAAACCGAACCCACGTCCATATTTCAAAATCTAAGCCAGCCCTCCATTATCAGAAAACGTCATTAAGCCATAAAACACTTTGACCCTGCGATGCCCAGAAAAGAAGATTAACATTTTGTTGAGCTCGGTTTCAGTTATGACCCCGTAGGCCTGCAGATAGGTCGCTTTGTGCTATAAAACCTTCTAGTCATGTGTAAAGCTTTCGTTCTTTTTGGGCTACAACAAAACAGGCAGCAGGTCGTTTAAATTAGAAGTTGCTTAGAGTTCAGTGTATTCGTACACGTTTCTGTGATAATGTTATTTAAAAAAAGGTTTTATTATTTGCTTATCGTTAGTGAAATAGTTAAAATTTCCAGTTTAAGTTTAACGAAGGGGACGTTTTGAAAACTTTTCGAACGGTGTGATGATAATGCGATCCGAAAAAGTTAAGGGAGTGTTTAAAGTGAAATTCAAAACGCCCATAAAGGTTAAGACTCTCAAGGAATACAACAGAATCAAGGAAAAAGAGACGCAGCAAAAAAAGAAAATTATTCTGCGCGATTCCGAGGACGAGGTTTTGTTTATTAATGACGAGGAGATAACGACACTGTAAGAAAATATAAAAAAAGTAAATGCATGGGTTTTTGCAAAAGAATAGTATTTGTGCCACAGCCAGCTATGGTTCTAACCAATGATTTCTAAAAGCCTGCAAATAGTTTGTTTAGTGAAGTAGGTATTATTGTAACAAATTATCTTGACAGTAGTTAGGTAGTAGATTTTTTGTTTGGAATTTTGTATACCCTGATATTTATCTACTTAATATTATGTATTTACATACTAATAGGAATTATTAGCTTTTTCATTATTTTAATATATTCTGATGACTTCTTTTGATTTTAACATTCTGAAAAATAATGCCATAAATTTAGGGACTAATAGAGTAAACAAAACAGGACGATTTTTTCCTATGGGTCATAGGTCTAAGTATTTTGTTTTTAAGATGCAAGGCATGAATGGCACATCTGGGTAGGTAACTTTTTTGAGGTTATGTTTACTAATTATAATGCAAAATCTCATTTTACACATAAAAAGTATGTGTTGAAATTTTCCTCGGGTAATTCTGAAAAGAAAATTTGATATTTTCACTTTCAGAGGCACTGAAAATTAAAAAAAATAAAAATAATAAATATCTCAGTGGAGCCCACCTAATTTTGAAAAAAATTTGAAACGCCAGTAGTTCTTAATGTTTTTATATCCCCTTTCAATACCGTTAAATATATTTTCATTTGAGGCTTAGTTTAAGGAAAGGAGGAGAGAAGGAGAAAATACGATTTTATTAGCTGATATAACGTGAAAGATTGCGAATTTTTTGGGAAGCCGTTTTGCAAATAATAATTTTCCGCCTAATGATTAAAAGCTCTAAAACAGGGTTTGTCTCTACTTTAAAAAAAGATGGAATAAAAGCAATATTCAGGGACAGAGGGTAGTTGACTTTGGCACAATCGATAGTTTTTTTAGATGCAGCAAATTATCCTGTCTTTTTATTTTACTTTATAATATGTAGGAAACAAATACCAAAAAAGATCGTAGTTAACGACACTACAAGAGAATCGAAAACTAACAATATTTACGTATTCCTATAAAAATTTCAATGCAATACATTGTTTCTTTAGATCAAAATTTGATTTTTAAAAATCATTTTCAACGCTTTGTCTCTCAAAAGCAAGGCACAATAGACCCGTGTACAGTCCTTGACCAATGATTCAGAGGAAAAAATAGTCTTAAAGCTTAGCTTAGTTATGTACTACCGTGTTCACTTATTTGTTAATAATAGCCTTACAGAAAATATAATTTTAATAAAGATGACATGGTCCATGCCATAAATATAATATATATGTCTATTTATAAAGATGTCAGTAATGTACAAGTGTACTATTATTAGCCATAGCTAGATAAGAAGTTGCATGGTATTTATTCAGTACTAATAGTGTAAATATGCTTTGTTTTACAAAACATAACATAAGGAATGTTTATAAATATGCCTTTCTAGAGAGCGAAAGCTATAAATAACATATTTTTAACATAATTAGTTACGATAACACAATACTGTACAGAGAACAATTCAAAAAGAGATATGAGATTAGATATTTTAAAAAAAATCCTCGGGTTCATTTGAGGAATTTTAATAAATCTAAAGGGTTTCTACCTGGACGCCATAAAATATTAGATTCCTTTATGCTGTTGATTTATCTCGAGTTGATATGGGACAGTGAGAAATAAGAAAAGCATGATCGATCGGATATTCAAAAGTCATGGTTGAAACGTCTTTTGTTGTTCACTCGGCTAGAAAAATAATTTTGTACGTATTGTATACGGGGAATAACTAAAGATTTAGTTCGGAAAAAAAACGGCAAAATTGGAATAAAAATGAAAAAATTCTATAAACTAATAAAAACACTTATTAAAATATATGAGTATAATAAATGAGTATAAAAATAACATATTTTAACAAATTTTATATATTCGTTATAGGGATGCTCTGAAATCTCAAACTAGCAAAGCTCGAGTATAAATTAACAAAAGACAAATATGTATTTTATTTAAAACGATAAAAATAAACAAAATCATAGTTTTTCCTGAATAAACACCGAAAAGACACAAAATAACTTTATAACTAAAAAAATTTTTATTTTATCAAATTTCAACATAAAAACGAACTAAAAATAACATTAGCAACAGTAGGTACGTTCTAGAATCAGCAGTCTGACGATTTTTTTAGTAAAATAATTTCTGAATGTTATTTTTTAAATACATATTATTTACATTGGTAAACATAGTAACTAGAACTCTATATATCTTAGATTTTAACAAAATTTCAATTTTTTCAAATTTTTCCGTTTTTACCAATTTTTTTGGGGAAAAAACGTATCCCCCAATTTTTCCGGCAATTTTTGATATATGGGTGTAATGCAACAAAATATCAAGTAGCGTTGTCCTTGTCCAAATTTAAGAACATTTTCTTTGTATAAACGTTTGTTCTTGAAACTATTGTTCTCTGAAAAGTTTTCCCAAAGAAATTTTGTATCTTTAAATATCTCCTGAAGATATTGAAACGAAATTTTGGCATCCAATGTGAAAAAAACTACGCTCAATTCAAAGTAGTGGTTGAAGTCAAGATTAACGTCATCATATGCCTATATTTTTTTCACCTTCAATACAGTTTGAATTATAAAACAAAAACGTACAATACCATTTTACCCTTATTTTTTTTTATAAGTAAACGATATTTCATATGCGCAGTTAATAATGCCATACTTTAAAAAATATTAACGAAATTATTGATATTTTTTCAGTTAAAGTTAATACATAGTTAGTGAACACTATACTACCAAAGTTAAGCAACAAAATTAATGATTTCACTAATAATACAGATGACTCTAATTGACATGTATTCTTCCATTCCTTCTTCCAAATTTGTGAAGATTGGAAGAAGATGAAAGAGCATATTCATCTAGCAAACGGTGCGTGAAGAAATGTTCAAATATTCATTATACTTTTCTCAAATTGCTGCATGAAAATATTGGCAAGCATATTTCCTAAAGTGGGATAATTAATGGATATTTTCTTAACAGAAACTTTGTTATTTTTAATCTGAAACGCTACTACATTTTTTTTCGTAAGTAGTAGTAAATTTAATAGCGTTAAAATAAGGAAAATTAGAAACATAATTAAATTAATATTTTACACTAAATCAATCCGGCATACAAACACAGTAAACGGCATTGAGTGTTAAAAAAATGAATTCTTGATAATAATAATAACTTGAATTTAAATTTAAAATACTTGTTCAAAAGTATTTCCTTTGATTAAATAATATCGACGTGATAGTGGCGAATTTTTAAATATGTGCTATTGTAAAATGATCGTTTATGCATAATGCAACATATTGTATGTGTTTTTTAGAAAACTGCTTTCACAATTTGTTAATAAAAACGTTTTTGTTAAATGCAGTGTGAAAATTATTCATTCATGGAAAAACCAACCATCGATCATTTTTTTTACTTGCACGTTATACTGCGCTACAATTTATAACTTTCATTTTCTAATGCAGGCAGCACGGTGTCCTTATAAATGGCTGATATTACCAGTAATCGTAGAAGTTTTCTAATAAAAGTGGGCAAGAGCGACATCGATAATTTAGTGCGTCTCCATTGTGCCCATATATTCCGGAGCTAATTTCGCACATCTGCTGTTCCTTAACTCGAAGACAAAGTAAAAAAGGAACTGAAATTACGCCGTTTGAAATTCAGACTTTCCAGAAATTCGTTCCTCTGCTTTTATTCGGATAATTAACTCGCGAGCGCCTAAGTCTTTCCAATTTGCATGCACTCCTTCCATATCCGTCAAAATTCGACTACGTTGAATAAAGGAAATATTAAATACAGGATGTTCTGCGTTTATGTTCCACTTGGAAAATAGTGGGGTTGTTTCATATAACGTTTTTCTCATTAACGTTGCGTTTCCGAGATACAGGTTGTTGAAACTGTTATTTAAAAAAGGGATTTTCTTAATTGCCTTAATCGACCAAGATAAAAATGTCAAAATTTAAAAATGTCAAAATTTGTACTCGAGTAAATATTAACTGTCTTCTAACTGTTAATCATTTTATTGCTAATAGCGGTGGCGTGGATACGGGTAGTTGAAGGAAAAATATGTTAAACGCCAAAATTTCTTAAACATCCAAAGGACTTTACAAACCTCAAGTGATAATAGAAAAAAGTATACTATTTTCCAAGAGAAACTCAGTTTTTCTGAAGTATAAACGGATCACGGATCGATATACATGAGCTTCAAAAAGACGCCATGAATTCAGGAGCTGGCAAAACATGGTATATATGAAGATTTTTCCTAAACACCACACCATCAAAGGTGACTTTTTTTGCCATATCGTTTTCAAATAACTATTTATTGCTCTGAAATTTGATACCTACATGTAAGTTACCAAAAAATACCAAGAGACTTTTTTCCGGTATTGAAAAAGGATGACAAGAACCAAAATATTGAAGAAATGATGCAAATTTGAAATGAGAAAATCATCTGGTTTATTAAATCCTATGCATATCATTAAAAAAGGCATATATTTATTTGAAGTGTTCCTCTTCGAAAGCCCTGATTAAGCAGCTCATTCGACAATTCAAATCACTCAGAAATTTGTTGGCTTCCAGATCACTGGGAAATTGGTTGGCTTTGGTGTAGTCAATTGAATTTTTATTGTTTGTATAAAATTAAATGTTACTTTATAATATGCGGCGTACAATGCCATACACCGAACCTCAGAAAAATTATTTTCTAAAATGTTGCTAAAAATTGACAATATAATTTTACTCTCATCTTTTTGACATACCCAAAAACTTAGTTGTGGGAAATCTTAATGCAATATATTCTTTTTAAAAAAAAAAAGATTTGGCCAAATTTGATGTCAATTCCTGAATTTATGCCAAATTTTTTCAAAACATCCTGTATATTTATATTGTATATGGTACAATAAAATTGTGTGTAAAGTATTTAATTTGTTCATACTGTATTAAATTAATTAGCACGCTTATTAACGTCGATTCGATTAAACCTTAATTGTTCTGTTTATTTCCTCAAAACCTGTTAAATCAATACAAAACAGAATATGATAAATTTGCCCGACATAATTTGTAAAACAGTCAATGATTAACCAC